GCGCTCTCAATATTCGTACAAGGTCTCATTATCTGCTTGCTCAATGTTGCTGATTTGCTTCTTGAGACTTGAAGAGATAGATGCGGAATAGTACCTGTCAAGGAAACTCTTTTTCATTTGAGCCCATGTATTGATGCTCCCCGAGGGAAGATTAAATAGCCAATCTTTGGCGGTATCTTTGAGAGAGAATGGGAAGGCTCTCAGCTTGATTTGCTCCTCGGACACGCCATTGGGGCACATGCTTGTGCACACAATATATAACTCTGACAAGTGTTTGTCCGGATCTTCCCCTCGTAGACCATGGAAAGAGGGAAGTAGATGAATGAGCCCAGATTTTAGCTCGAATGCGACCCCCGTATCAAGAGTTGGAAAAGTGATACATAAGGGTTGTTGATTTAGATTCAGAGCCGTGGCTCCCTCAACGTTCTTGTTTCAAGAGCCATAGTGATTGGCTCTTCGGTGTCGCTAGAATGAGAACTAGCACTTGATGATTCCTCCGAAGAAGTATTCGGAAATAAATTCCTAAACCTCTCGAAGGCTTGTTCTGTTTCGGGCTTTGTTTGGTAGGTGATTTGGTTTATAGATCGGTGTTTAACCATATACTCAAATAAAGCTCAGAAGAATACAAATCTAAGAACTCTTTATATTTTATTTATTTGAATTTTTTTATTTTCTTGAAATACAATAAAAGAAAAATAATTGCCTTTCCCCGGCAACGGCGCCAAATTTGACGTGCCCTTGTCGTGAGGTGCACTCAAAATAATTACAATACAACCATTATACGTAGTATAACGAAGTAAGGTTCGTATCCACAGGGAAAGGAATACTTTTCTTTTATATAAGTAGTAACTAGGGGGTTTAGATTTGTTTGAAAAATACTAAGATGAACAACCTGTATGAGTTTAATTAATGGATATGGAGGCTTGGTTTTGCTTTTATCCACTTAATGAAATGTGTGTCGATCCCGGTTATATCTTTAACTAGCTTCCTCTCGAATACTCAATCGAGGAGTATATCCAGTTCATCGAGGGTAGTTATTAATAACGAGATGCGTTCATTAATAAAACTTACTATCGAGTCAATACAGAACAAGCGCCGTATATTAACTTGATAGTAGCAATAAACTTAAGATGAAAATGATTGAGATTGATAACCTCAACACAAGCGGTTTATTGGTTTAATCAATATAATTAATTCCCCTTGGCATATTAACCATGAGATGCATGCATTAATAATCCAAGTTTACTACTGTTGAAAGAACCGGATTAATAACAAGCGTATTAACCGATTGATTCTAGTAATAATTAATATGAGAAACAAAACTAGTTGATACTTTAAGTGATGTTCAAAATATTCACATGAAATATGAATAGGAATTAATTAATACTTAAGGAAGAATATTAAAGAATATGAATCCTACTATGATTAATATCAAGATGTTAACTAATTGTCATTTTAGTAACACTCCCCAATATTAACATAGAGGAAGAAATAACTATTACTATAACCAATGTCAAGATATTAACTAATTGTCATCTTAGTAACATTCCCCATCTTTGATATAGAAATAGTATTTTAAAAGAAGAATTAATATTCAAGGAAGAAGATTAAAGAAAATAACTCACAACTTACAAATTCATTAAGCTTCAAAATAGCAAAACCAAGATGGAAGAGTTTAGCTCCTCATTTGGAGACTAAACATGATGAAAAATATAAAGAAAGAACTATTCTAGACTGAGCTTAGATGTATAAAGGAATCGGATGATTAAAAGTGAAGGAAAATGAGGTTATTTATAGGTGTTTTCAAGACCTATAGCCGGATACCCGGCCGGGTATTTTGACATACCCGACCGAGTATTTACCAAATCAAATATTTTCTCATGTTTTTGTGTCTTCTGCACGTTCTTTGGTCCGAAATCACTTCATACCCGACCGGGTATATGGAATACCCGACCGGGTATTTGCTAGTTTTGCAGCAGTTTCCTTTGTCACTTCATACCCGGCCGGGTAAAGTCCATACCCGACCGGGTTTTGCATAAAACTCAGGTTTTTCCATCCTTCTTGCATCCAAACCTATCCTAAATTTATAGCTCAACTAACTACAACTTACAACAAACAATAAAATGCTAAAAATACGATTACAATCAAATGCAAACTAACTACAAACTTGCATAATACTAGTAAATAAATATTACAAATGATAATAAAAATGTACACTTAGCACTAACAACTAGTGCCTATCAAAGCTACACTAACAACTACATTTGTAATTACTTCTGAATCTTTGTATCAGAAACCTAGGAGGGTACATTTGTAGAATTGTAGAATGAACTTTATACGTAATTTTTTACTTTATACGTAGTACTATCTTAATGTTTTGATGATGTGCGTTAACTATGAAACGTTATGCCACTTTTTTAATATTTTACCTTTTTTATTAATTTTATATTAATTTGAGTTATGTTAGGGTAGGGACCCCATAACTCTATTTTTCTAGGTCCGCCACAGAGTCTCCAAAGGGATATTCCAAATGTTTCTAACTTTCTATTGTTAAGAATTCTTAAAACATCATATAGGCCACTCTTTAGAACCGTATGAACAATAAAGAACATCGAACCTGGAGCATAGAAAATCCATATATAACGGTCCTATTATCTCGTACAAAGATTTGAAGAGGAACATGGGTCTCGTAAGAAGAAGAAGAGAGAGAGCAGCCGAGCAAGAAGCCTTCGATCGGGATTCAGGAAGGAGAGGTTTTGATTCTGAAGCTATGTCGTTAACTTCAAATTTGGAGCAATCAAGAATGTATTCCGGGCATTTTCCAGCAATAAAAGAAGGATAAGATGGTCTTTTTGCTAGCCAACAGTGAAATAATCAATTTCATCTAAAAAAAAGTAGCCTTGGAGATGTTTTTTGTGCTGATAATAATAATCAACCAAAACAGTCCATTAAATGGGTGTTTCACATTTGTTTTCTACTTTCAGGCTTATCAGCCTATTTTAAGTCCCTAAATGACATCTAAGCAAAACTATTATATAAAAATTGAAAAATAAAGCCCTTGTCAATTCCCGTCAACCTAGTTCTTGGAACATGTGTACAATATTTCCGTAAAAAATACGGAAATATTGGGAAACTCTATTAAAATGTGCATTTTATTACTACTTTCGTCTAATTAAAAATACTACACTTTATACGTACTCTAGTTACTGCACAACATTACTACACGACAGTATTGCACATCCAATAAAAAGCATTGCACTTGTCACCAACATTAATCCTCTTCTCATCCACGTTAGAAATGTCTTTATAGTTATTTTTTATTTAACTTTAAATTAGTATTTACCTCCAGTTAAATACATCACATCTCGTGTCATTGTAATTGCTCTATTGCCTTCGATTCACTACACAAGACACTTCATCAATGCATTCATTCATTGCCCATGTACAATAGGGATGGGATCGGGATGATCCCGATCACGATTGTCAAAATCTCGATCCCATCCTGATCCCGATTCAAAATATAAGAGTACCCGTATCCCGTCCCGATTATGTCGGGATCCCGACATTAAAATCCTGATTAAGTCAGGTTCCGATCGGGAATCCCGCTTAATCCAGACAATGAAGTTCAAACATGAAATTATGTAATTTCTTTAGTTAAACACTAACTTTGATATTTAGTGGTTTCAACATTAGTCTTTGGTCATTAGTATACCATATAAATGATCATCTATTTATAAAATTTATGGTCATAATTATCATCTATAATTCATAGTAGTACGCAGTTTTAGAATAATTTTTATTTATAACTTCAATTAATTAATAGTATGATTTTTGAAAAGTTATCAGGTTCAGTGAAACTTTCTTAAAAAATTACATAAAAAATCACTAAAAGAAGGATGTGTAATTTATATTATTTAAAATTCAAAACTAAGTAGACTCATTGAGAAACTTTGTGACCGATGAATATAATGTATAAATACATATTATGATTATTTACTAAAGAAAGAAATCTTAGTCTCGATCATGATTTTTCAAGGAGTTCATCAAAACCACAAAAATTGTAATATTGTTGTGATTTAGATTGATGGGATCAAGAATAATCTCTATTTAGTTAGGATCCATAATATTCAATTTGGGGAAAATGCCGAATAGTTTTAGAAGTTTGATATTGTAACATAAAAGATTAATTTATGTAAGGAATAAGTGAGTAAAAAAGATATGCAAATATTTAGATACATATTCATTTTTTGTAAAGTTAATGTGAATTATCTTTATTTTAGTTATAAGGTCATTTGCAGTGATCAATTAAATGCCTTTATGACATGAATTACCACATAAACATTTACAACAAAATTAAAAATGTACTCCCATTCCATGGTTGTTATAACTTTGTGTTCTTCATTCACTTATTATTAATAATACTATATTTAATACTCTCTTCGTCTAAAAAAGATTGGTCAATGATGATCAAGTTGATCAATGATATATTTATTAAATACAAAATTATTTAAAATATCAAAGTTATATGAACATATTCTAATTAAAAAAATTGATACAATTATAAAATTTATAAATTTCATACATATATACGTAGTAATACCTAAATTCATTGCTCAACTATAACATTATTAATCAAGAAAAGTCAAATTAATCAATCTTTTTTTGAACTTTAACATTATTAATCAAGAAAAGTCAAATTAGTCGATCTTTTTTTGAAGGAGGGTCTTTATTCACTGCGAGTAGGTTATTAGCTTAACAACGACATTCCAGATCTTTCTGCAATTCTGCCAAGTCTCACCCGGCATTCAGGCACAATAGATACGTGGGCACAGATAGACTATAACCACCAAGTGGCACTGAAATTGACTTCCACCTGGATTAGACCAACTCAATCGAAACATGTGTCAACCACGCGTCAGCAACGGGAAAGGCAATTTGGGACTAAAAAGTTCGTACGTATAAGACCGTGAAAACATCGGCTTTTCCGCCACGAAGTAAAAGAAGAGATCAGCTAAGACGGTAGGATGAAGCCGATTGACGATTCGAGCAAAACGGTGACTTTCCGGGCGGTCAGCAGAGACGAGGAGGGGTGCAAGCGCGTGGAAAAAATCGAGGTTGACACCCACAACCTCGACACGCTCAAACACATAGAGAAGAAACTTCTGGACAATGGGGTTCACCGGAAAGACCGCCGCCCGCTGAGCGGGATTCCGCTGATGAAGCAGGCGAAATCCGGTCACGGCGGCAAGTACACGTGGGAAGGCCCGGGGGAGCCGGGCCTGGATGACGTGCCGGCGGCAATCGACGAGAATGATCCAAACTTTGTGGATGAGGAGGAGGAGGAGGAGGAAGAGGAGGCGGCAGATAAGGGCGTGTGGAGGGGAGAGGTTGGTGGGGCAGAGGGTGCGGTGGTCGTCGGGGAAGTTGATGTGGCGAAGGTGGCGGCCCAAGGGGTTGCTCGAGTGGATGTTCATCCTCAACTCCACCCTAATTAATACGAAGTAATAATAGTTACTTAAAATTAATTATAGGGAAAACTGTGAAATAGGTTCTCGACCTTTCATAAAAAAGCCAATTAAGTCCTTCTATAGGAGATTATGTCCGATCGTCTTTGGGGCGGTTCTCGGTGAAATTTTTTGATGAAATTTTTTGAGCATCTTATCCATCAAGTCTAGTTTACTCATACAAAATTTCAGCTAAAAAAATAATTGGGAGCGCATTCAAATTAACTCGAGAGCGCAAAAATGCGCAGTTATCTTCAAGAATTAATTTGAATGAATTCCTGATTGAATTTTTAGCTGAAATTTGATATGAGTAAACTAGACTTGATGAATAAGATGCTCAAAAAAATTTATAAAAAATTCCACCGGGAACTACCCCAAATCGCGACGGTCAGACAGAACCTCCTATAGAAGGACTCTTAATTGACCTTTTTATGAAAGTTCGATGACCTATTTGATAGTTTTTCCTTAATTATATGGTTAGTATAAATATTATTACTAGTAGTATCTTCAGTGTCTTTGTTCCAGTGGATGTTCTCTTTTCGCTTTGTTCCCTTGCTAGTATTTTTATCAGTACCGCACACATGATGAAATGGTTATATATGTGTGCATGCTCGCATATGTATGAGTAATTATAAGGGTTAATTATCAAAATATGACTAAAAGTCACTCACTTTACACAAATAGGATCAAAAAATAAACTATGTTTTCATAGGACTAATTATGTGTGTCTTGGACAAATATACCCTTATAGCTATTTAAATGTTTTAATTCATAATAAAATAATAAAAATAGTAAAAAATCGTAAAAAATACTAAAAAATTAATAAAAATATTTCGATAATAATAATTTATTTATTTATTTACTTTCAAAAAAACTCAAAAAAAATAAAATAAAATTCACCATCGTCTCTGCCGCCTCTGCACCACCACCTCCAGTCACCAGAGGAAAAAATGCCAAGTTCATTACGAATGCCATATTTATGGCAGAAAACAATAAAAATGTTGGCATTCTCAAAGAGAAATATGCAATGTTTTTGGCATTTTCAGAAGAAAAAAATTGCAGTTTTTAAGAAAAATGGCATTTTTTTCACCGCCCGGAGATGGTGGTGCAGGAAGGTAGTACACGCGGTGGGAAAGGCATCCATATTTTTTCTATTTTTTTTTTTTACTATTTTCTATTAATTTTTAAAAAAAAAAAATTAATTTTTTATTTTATAAATATTTTATAAATTTTTTAATTATTTTTCTACGAATTTTTGAATTTTTTCGAATTTATTATGAATTAAACATTTAATTAACTCATATTTAAAGGAAGGGTAAGAATGAAATGAAAAAATAGGTATGTTTTCAATAGGATTAATATGGTCCTATTTTGAAAAGAAAAATATAGTAAGTCCTATTTTGAGTTTTTGCAATGATTTTATTCCTATTTTGAGTAATTTCTATAATTATAACTAACGGAAAGTCACTTATTTAGTCGATTATAACATCGGTAGATGAACCAATTTTTTTATAACTCTCGGTTGCATTCAAATGAGCTTCGTCTTGTCAATCATTATTACCTAAACAAAAAGGAAATTGTTCAATGCCTATTTTTATCCATTAGATAATTTGCTGCTTTTTCAAAACTACACATTTTTGTAATTGATTTATTTAATAATATAATGGGTGTGGTCTCTTTTTAAGATATTAGTCTTTCTCAATTTAGAATTGAGCAAATTAGTCTTTCTATCTCCTTCATTGAAAAAGAGTTTAGAATATGTAATTTTGTGATGGCGGAGACAATACCCGCACGGGTAGCTCAATTGATTCAGTGGTGGGAAATTTGGACCAAGTGACCAAGGTTCGAAAACCGCAGTGACCGTGTGGAGGTCACAGAACCTGAAATAAGGCTAGGTCTCTGGTGCGCACGGGAAAAAGGTCTACCATCATTGGGCCGACTGAGTCACCGTGATTAACATCCTCCCAAAAATCCTGTCGGGTCGGGGTATGGGGGGCTCTTGGGGTGGGAGATTCCACCTTTTGGACCAAGTGATGGCGGAGACAATGGGCCGAACGCGATTGTAGCGAGTGATCAATCTTTCATTAGATTGATTCATAAGTGTTATTGACGAAGAAAAGTTCATTAGATTGATTCATAAGTGTTATTGACTAAGAAAAGTTGTATGCTTTAGACTTTAATTTTAGTCAATTTTTCTTAATAGATCAGTTGAATTAAATTTATAAAAAGATTTTAAGTCAAGTGGTAGGTAATAGTCGAAACATAAACTAGTCAAACAATAAAAAATACAAAATAAAGATGCCCCATATCTAGAATCGAAATATGTTCTCAATTTTATGACCAAATAGTACTATATAAAAGTTGTTATTTGGTGTGTTCTCGAAAAACAAAGAAAATTAATTAATTAAAATTAATTAAAAATAACCAAAGAAAAAATAGAAAAGAGATGGAATAGAAATTAGTCAAATCTTGTGCAACGCACAAAGTCCTTAAAATGTATTCATTGCCTCATACAGTGCTAGGAGCGTTGCAACGGTCATTTCCCAGGATATGATGACTAACGAACGACCGTTTGAGCACACAAATGACAGTTTCGGCGAACGGAAACAAGCAAGAACACAAAAGGAAAATTGCAGAAAATTGGAGGTGGTTTTTAGCTCAAAACTACGTGCAGATTGTGTATGATTGAATGTGTTGTTGCAAAGCACCTACCAGCTATTTATAGGAAGAATTTGTTGTGTGTTAGTGGAGAGTTAATGGACCAGAACGTTGGACATCAATGACCCGACCGTTCGGCATTGATTTTCGTATCTTTTAATGACCAAACCAGACCGTCACGAGAAGCATCAAAAATTAAATTGTATCTTTGAAAGATAGATTTTCGGATGACATTCATCGCGCACACAAGTCACGTTTTTTCTTCTATGTTTTTTGAATTTGATCGGCAACCCCCTGCGCGCGAAGAGAGTTTTTTCACCTAAGAATCTTAACTTCTTCAAAGAGAGGTTGAAAATACTTTTTTCCAGTTTTTCCGTTTCAACGAGTGAACTTCAAGAATTAATTTCTCATTCACCCGTTATCCGTTTCGAGTGTACCATATATCGAATTGTAACCCTTAACAAGGGAAATCCGAAACCATTTTGACCCGATCCAAATCGGTAGTGTACCTCACTCAAAATATTGCCCCAAATTGACCGTTTAATGCATTGTTTCACACATTTTTTCAACAGTTACATCCATGAGTAAAAGAATTGTCATTTATACATAGTCTAGCTTATTTGCCTAGCTCTTAAACGTCACTTTTAGTATCACAATATGATTGCTAATATGTAATTAATAAAGCTTTTAAAGATCTGAAACTCTCAACAAAAATATATCAAGATTTATGTTAATATATTTAGTATATACACTAAAGTAAAAATAATTTTTACTTTCACAGATCAGATAAAAAAATTGATTCCAATTGAAAATACCCTTAATTGAGAAAGGTGAAAACAAATTTGAGATAACATTAAGGGATCATTTGATTCAAAGAATGTCAAATTAACATGGGAATGCTACATTGCTGGGTATGTTAGATTGATAAGAATGTATTCAATTTATTCCCGTTTATATTTGGTTAAGATTATGGGAATGTGACATTAATTTATTTGATTGAATTACGGGAATGCAACCTATATCTAAAGTAATATTAATTAAATAAAAAACAAAAATATCATAATAAATAAAATCTAAACTAAATGAATTATTTTTAAGTAAAATATGTTTAATTGTAAAAAGTTGTAGATTCAATAGAGAAATGAAAAAAAATTGTTCAAATAGTATCTAAACATATTTATTACTACCTCCGTCCTAAATTGATTTTCAAAATCAACTTTTTTGAATCAAACAATTCCATTTAATTCACTTAATTAGGATATAAATATCAATTGTTAATTATGTTCTAATCTGAAACTTGCAATTTTATAGAGATTTTAATGTAGTTTCTGAATATGTAAATTTAACTCCGCCATGAGATCATTTTTTTGGTATCATGCATGTCCCAAGCCAGGATAAAGGAGGAGGGTGTTGTGGTAGGCGCGTGATGGCCAACAATATCACTTAGTCATATCACATGACATGAATCGAAATATGAATATCGCTACAGCTAGGTCATCGCCCGTAAGCGACATGTCATTCCTCCGCCTGGGGGTGGTGTCAAATGAGCAAGGGCGCGCTACACTTCATAGGCCTGGGTGTGGTGATAAGAATGCTAAGGTTGCTAGGTCATCGCCCGGAAACGACGCGCCACTCCAATGCCCAGGGATGGTGTCAAATATGCAATGACATGGTGGGGGTCGATGTGGTGTGAAGAAGAGAAGGCAGGGTTTTAGATTGCGTTTTGGGACATGGAATGTTGGATCACTTACGGGAAGATCACCTGAGATAACTGAGGTTATGAAGAGGAAAAATATCAGCATAGTGTGCATGCAAGAAACGAAATGGGTTAGAGAAAAGACACGTGAGATTAATCGCGGAGGTTTTAAGCTGTGGTATTCGGGGAGAGAGAGGAACATAAATGGAGTAGGCATTATGGTGGCACATGATTATGTTGAGGGTGTGGTTGAAGTCTTTAGGAAGAACGATCGCATCATGAGCATTAAGTTGATAATAGGAGATGAGACCGTGTCCGTGGTAAGTGCTTGTGTAACACCCCGACCCCACAAGATAGTTACTCCAGACCTCTAGTGCTGTCCTCACAAACCTCCACTAGCCTTTTCCGCGCACTTTGTCCTCACTCGTGCGCACCCTGAGAAACTTCTCAGGGGGTCACCCATCCCAAGACTACTCCCGTGCAAGCACGCTTAACTTTGGAGTTCTTGGCTAATGAGCTCCCTTAAAAGTAGATGCACATTGTTGGTATGAGTAGTACTATTAATCCGTTTAAATTAAATCTCAAGTATTACAATCACCTCCACTTAGGAACACAATGTCCTCGTTGTGTCCATAAACCAATCTTAATCATATCCCAGAATCTTTTCCCCTGCTAAGTGCACGTCCGATATCCAATGGATCAGCACACTGTCGCAGGGTTGCTCTGATACCATTTGTAACACCCCGGCCCCACAAGACCCGAGGTAGTTACTCCAGACCTCTAGTGCTGTCCTCACAAACCTCCACTAGCTTTTTCCGCGCACTTTATTCTCACTCGTGCGCGTCTTGAGAAACTTCCCATGGGGTCACTCATCCCAAGACTACTCCCGTGCAAGCACGCTTAACTTTGGAGTTCTTAGCTAATGAGCTCCCTTAAAAGGAGATGCACCTTGTTGGTATGAGTAGTACTATTAATCCGTTTAAATTAAATCTCAAGTATTACACCCTATGCACCACAAGTGGGATTGGATGCATCTATCACTCGACAATTTTGGGAGGATCTTGAGGAAGTGGTGCGACGAGTGCCAAGGGGAAAGAAGCTGGTCATAGGAGGCGACCTCAACGGGCATGTGGGCCCAAGTCGTGATGGTTTTGAGAGTATCCATGGCGAACATGGCTTTGGCACTAGAAATGAAGCGGGGAAGAACATTTTAGATTTTGCATCGACAT